TGCATTGAATTTGTGTTCTTCTTTAACATTCTTTTTTATATTGATAATACACTTGTAACACGTACCTGCTTCCTAATTTTTTTGAAAAAAGCCGTTTCTATGCTTCCACTTCTGCATACCCGCTTCTGATTCCATGCGACCTAAAACGGCCCAAAATTATTTAGATAATTAACTAGTAAGAGTTTGGGATATAACTACTCAAATTTTCCGAATCCGTTCCGTTACATGTATTTTCCTTCCCGTTATCTTATTTACCGTCTTGTTTCTTCACTCGATCACTGTTAAATTAACACTAATGAATAATGATAGACATCTTTAATGTGTATCCGCTACAAAAACAGTAGACAATATGATAATCGGTTAAAGTTTAAACCTGTTCAAAAGACCCGAACCAAACCAAATTGCAATGTAGAACAAAGAATCAATCTTCATTACACATACATTCTTTACATCTTGGGTAACGGTAAACGCTGCGTCCCGTTGGTCTAACCAATACATGTTTGGTCTGCCTAACGTTTTTTCTCACTCTCTGCTCGAACACTTTCCATTCTATTGTATTGTTCTTCAACAATATGTCCGAGAATCTCCGCTTGTTCGGTCTGATCGTCGGCATTTTCCCTGCTCCGTAGTAAATCCGGTAACCCGAAACCAGAGACGATAATTGACTCCCTGAATCCGTCATCGCAAAGGCGTCCGATGCAGTGCAAGCAATAAAATCAAGAACCGCTAGCTACATAACCGGAGAGAAAAAAAAAATTGCGGTTTAGTTTGGAGGGACAATTTAACCGATAAACCGGAAAATAGTTTACGCGGGTTTTTTCATTTCACCTGAGATGAGTGGTTCTTGAAAGGCTCTAGCTCGGTTTCAGTGAGTACATTCTCTTTGGTGACGAGATTTGGATAGAGACTAGTTAAAGCGGCTAACCGTTTCATCCCACCATATATATTTGCGCCAGCCACGAAAACACGGGTCTTGCGGTTGAAACCGAGACCTGCAAGCATAAGCACGGCTTCCTCAGGTGATAACGGGCAAAGCCCTTCCGTCCTCAAATCGTCCGGAGATGGCATTCTACAAAAATAAAAACAGAGCATTGCATGTGAAACCCAAAACCGCTACGAGTAAAGAGAATTAAAATAAACTAAGTAAAGAGGGATAAAAGAAACCAACTTTTTCGTCTTCGTTAGATTTGCCAGCGTCGGGAAATGCTGTTCCCGGTACGCATCAAGTTCTTTCTTTTCCGCATCGCCTCCTCCGAAGTAACAGAGAGAATGAGCCACCATATCAATTTCAAACCGAAGATGGACTGCTAGATACTTAGAAGCCTTATGGAGAGGACCTGCCTTCTTGTCCAATATAAAGGATGCAAATTTTGGACCGACAAGATACGGGTCAACTGGTGCAAGGTGTGATCCGCTATCGCGTAATCTCCTTACGAGAATCGCACCCGTTTCTTGTATCTTTGGAACGAAGTTTAGCGCATGAAAATTACATCTACACCGCAGCCTCTACTCCCCCAAAAAAAGTTGGATCATTACAGGTTAGAAGTCGATAACTCGATATCCACACAATGCTAAATCAAAGTCTTTACCTGTAACTGAAATGGTATCGGGTCGAAAGCCAAACGGTTTCCGAATCCAAAGAAATGGACTACTCTGTTCTTGAGTAGAAGAGGGAGAATGTGCTTCATATAAAATCCGGGCTTGGCTTCTTTCATGACATCCATATCCGTAACCTAAAAAAACAAAATGTAAACAGGTAAGTATATATAAAAAAGAAGACAAAGATGAAATCTGTTTAGAAATTAAAACAGGTCTAGGGAACTCACGACGCTGCCAATCGCCTCAAGGTCAA